AACTATATAATTATAATCTATATAATTTAGATATAATTTACATATAACTATATAATTATAATCTATATAATTTAGATATAATTTACATATAACTATATAATTATAATCTATATAATTTAGATATAATTTACATATAACTATATAATTATAATCTATATAATTTAGATATAATTTACATATAACTATATAATTATAATCTATATAATTTAGATATAACTATATAATTATAATCTATATAATTTATATATAATTATAACATATGTAATTTATATTTAATTCTATAATATATATAATTATACACTATTTATATACATAAATATTAATATACTTACAAATATTATAACATGGCATGGTACGTAAAACTGAGTTTATACTATGTGATAAAACATCATATACGAAAAATGTTATGGGACATACGTTTCTCTTTTTGATTTTCTAACGAGTTATATAAATTTTCGTTCAGATTGGAAGACGAGAACGAAGAAAAATCGCAAACGATCGACGTGAAGAATCCATGGCCCAGTTGCCATGGTTTTGTAGACGTTCTCGAAATGTGCGTTAACGCGGATCACCAAGAGCGCCAGTTGAAGATCAAATTCAATGAACTGTTCGAGAAGACGCGATCAACGAAGGAGAAGGAGATGAGGGCAGCGAATGAACGCGCCAAAGAAATGCGACGTCTTGTTCTCGAATTGAAGCGCTTGTTTCACGTGGACGCGAGTTCCAGACTCTTCGAACCTCCGAATTGGCATCAGACAGAGATAATCGAGGATGAGCTTGAACGAATCGTGAACTCGCTTGGTGATACACGGTCAGAAGAACTCGCGAAAACCAACGACTGCGAGGAGAATTTAATGGATGACGACATAGAGATAGAAACGAGTGATAACGATTTTCGTCGAGAAATGCTCGAAAGGATGATGGACGGTGTACTGGAAGTTAGGTAATTGTATTTATCATACCGCAGAAATGAACGACGTATAATTATAAAAATCAGAGAGAATTAAGTGGGCTACAGCTGACGAAAGAAAGTTTCTCTTTTTTTTTAAATTTAATCTTCTCTTATTTGCCATCCATTGAACAATAAAATTATTTTGAACGTTGCGTTAACGCAATATTTCATTTCCCAATCAATTTGTATTATAAAAATTTTATTTTTTCGTGTCATGGCTACAAAAAGAAATTTCAAAGATTTGCTTTGTAACATAAATCTTACAATTTTGTGAAATATCAAAAAAAGTTGGACTCTAATATTATGGCAAATTATTGCTGGATACTTAACTGTATATACTAATATTTTTTTATTATTTTACACGTGTGTATGCAAAATTCGTACATTTGTATAATACAAATTCAATATGATGTATAATTGTATAATTATATGATACAAAATGTACTGTATTATACATTCATTTCTCTTGTCAGTTATGAATTTTTATTAGATTTTTACTTGCTCGATGTGACAATGAAATCTAAATTTGAAATCGAGCTCACGTGTCGTAGATTGGAGCATAGCGCGAAGATGAACATTCCAAAACCCGACTGTCTCTCCCGGAAAGATCCGGCCAGCTACACTGACGAAGATATTCGAGCGATCGAGTCGTACGAGAAGAAGATTCGCGCTCAAGAAGCCGATCGGCAGAAATACAAGTCGATGCTGGAGGCTGAGATCGAAAGGATCAGTGGTAGAGTAAGAAAAATCTAATATAGGCCCAAACTTTAAAGATATTTGTTGCCAAAAATTTTCTCACTGATCGTGTTACAAACTCTGTCTATAAAAATTAAATTAACTCGTTATAATCTTTCTTTCTTACGTGTTTCGTTCAAGAAGAAAGAAAACATCGACAGATCTTCTTTTTATATAAATTCCTCCCTTATCGAATTTTTTATTCCTCCCTTCGCATTTTTTAACACTAGGACTATCGGCGACTAGAGCATAAACCTAGGACCATCAGAAACGTTAAAAGGAACAAAAAGACCTTCATAGGTTTTTTTAGTTATGTATTTTACGAAAAATCCCTAAAAATTCGTTGTTTTACATTCACAAAAATTATAAATTGGTCGTTTTGAACAGTTTGGTAGTTCTAGAGCAGTGACGGCGAACCTTTTTGAGAAGTAGGTCAAATTTTGTTCATTATTTTTTTTAGTACTAGGAGGATGGTTAAAAACTACTTTCTTTTGGTTCTCACTTTTATAATCCTCTAAAAAGTTTACGTTTCCTTTTTGTTTTACAACGTTTACTTTTGCAAGCGAAGAGCAAACAATAAATGTCGACGTCAAGAAATTGATATAAAAGGAGTGACATCATACTCAGTCACCCCTGCACTATACATTAGATATATATACTTTATTCCTTAATATTTTTTATCGTCTGTTCTCTCTTTTATTATATAAAAAACTAGCAAAGCTACCCATTCTGAGAACGGGATCTCTTAGTATTTTAGTATTTATTGGGGTTTTTTAGTATTTATTACATCTGTTTAATCGTAAGCGCTATATAAAATTTTTCGGACACAAGTAACTCATATAACATTTAAGACTTGAAATACCTATATGTATACATAACCAAGTCGTATATTCTCCATGAAACACAATTATGCATTTATTTCTCACTTTTTAGCTCTAACCGAACACTTGTGATTTTCTTAACATTTTTTGAAAAGAGAGGTTCGAGAAATAATTAAAATTCTTTTATATATATGATGATAAGTTTATAAAAATCAGCGCGTGGGTCAGTGGTTCGCCATCATTGTTCTAGAGCGTAAATGAGCGACGCGGCGAGCCGACACTGGGTCACTTTTGACCCGTAGCTGAATTTTTACTACACTTGCTTTGCACCTAACTTTTTGGTACAGGATGTTATCTAATAATGTTTATAATATATAATATGGAGAGGAGAGGAGTTTGTTTAAAAAATGTAAAACTTTATAAACATATTTTTTATTCATGTAGACTGCGCACGTACAACCTTACTGTGTCTTATTGCATGCTCTTTGCATATAAATCGTAAACATTTGGCACATTTTTTTTTTTTTTTTACCATTGCCTATACATACTATATAGCATCAAGTTCTGGGTCAATGGTGACCCGGTGTCGGCGCTACGCGAGCGTTAACGAAACACGTCCCTGTTTCAGGAGAATTCTCGAGCAGCGTGAAAGACTTCGACGACCAGTTGAACGAATTGTCCGGGGAAAAGATAAATGTCGAGCGATCGATACTTTCACAGAGATTGTCCAAGGTACAGGCGATCCTGCAGCATCGAAAAATCGTTCGAAAGCGGCGGGAGATACGACGCGTTATCGAGTCGGTGCTTGTGCCCGCGACGAAGGAGGCGCGCAACCTCGCCGAGGAACGCGACTCGTTCGAGATGGGTGTCGCGGAATTGAGGGTCAGCTACGAGAACGCGTGTAAACGAGACAAGCAGCTCGAGATGAAATTTCGGACGGAGTTCACCGAGGTGAAGCCATCGATCTTGGAGAAATTGTTACGACATTATCGTAAAAGACCGAAGTTATTGACTGCGCACGGTTCCGTCGCGTTACTCGCCGAACTCGCTGCTTGTGTCGTTGAACAACGTCACTCTGACATTTTGCCTAGAGAGTGTTCCAACTATTTGCGAACACTGGACGAGTTGGATGTGATGCCGGAAGCGTTGACGAGTCGATTAGAACGGAATTATTGGCGTCTTCTCTGTAATCTTAGGAGGCTCAAGGTGGAAGCGGAAATAAAGGTAAATTAACGACCAGAAATGAAATAAACGAGAATATAAAATTAGGTATACGAATGTGCACAAATATAAGATATGGTAGTATTATTTGGGTTATGACATCTTGAAATTGAATCTTTTGTTCGAGATGAGCGAAAATAATAAAATAATAAAATAATAAAATAATAAAATAATAAAATAATAAAATAATAAAATAGCAAAATAGTAAAATAATAAAATAGCAAAATAGTAAAATAGAAAAATAGCAAGATAGAAAAATAGCAAGATAGCAAAATAGCAAAATAGCAAAATAGCACGATAGCAAAATAGCACGATAGCAAAATAGCACGATAGCAAAGTAGCACGATAGCAAAATAGCACGATAGCAAAATAGCACGATAGCAAAATAGCACGATAGCAAAATAGCAAAGTAGCACAGCAGCAATATAGCAAAATAGCAAAGTAGCACAGCAGCAATATAGCAAGATAGCAAAATAGCAAGATAGCAAAATAGCACGATAGCAAAATAGCATGATAGCAAAGTAGCACGATAGCAAAATAGCACGATAGCAAAATAGCAAAGTAGCAAAATAACAAAGTAGAAAAATAGCAAAGTAGCACAGTAGCAATATAGCGAAATAGCAAAGTAGCAAAGTAGCAAAATAGCACGATAGCAAAATAGCACGATAGGAAAATAGCAAGATAGCAAAATAGCAAGATAGCAAAATAGCAAAGTAGCAAAATAGCAAAGTAGCAAAATAGCAAAGTAGCAAAATATCAAAATAGCAAAATAGCAAAATAGCAAAATAGCAAAATAGTAAAATAGTAAGTAACGTAGAACTTAAATTATTGACTTCTAATGCCCAATATAGAGTTAAGCAAACAATTAATCACAATTTCAAAGTATAATTTAAATAAAATTATAATCAAATTCGATGCAGCAACTGACAATTGAAAATTATCAATACTCTTATTGTTAGTCGATCGCCGATTTTTTCAACGATTCAATTGATCAGTTGAAATGAAATTAAACATTTTAATCGATCAATACCCAACTTTGTTAACGGGGGAATTAAATTTTATTCAAAGGTCAAAAGCTGCGCGATCGAGCTCGCGGAAGCGGAACAGAGTCTGGCGTTCCTGCGAAACGCGTGCTCCATTGGCCGTGAGAAGGTCGATCGATGCAAGCAGACCATTGAACGTTTGGAAAAATCCTTCGCGAATCTGACGCAGGATCGCGAGGTCGCGTTGCTTCTGAAAATGAATCAAATCTGCGTGCAAGCCAAAGGTGATCCGCGCACCGATTGGAAGGATGCGGTTCTGACACCGCAGGAAGAACTGCAGCGAGCAAATCAGGCGATCACGAAGGCTGAACGACAAAGATCGCTCGCTCTACGACGAGTGATCGATATAAAGGAAATCGTGTCGTTCGAGGAGTGGCGTCACGCCCGCGAGAAGAAGAGAATGGAAAATTTGCAGGAGTACGCGAGAGATCTTGATTTGATCAAGGTAGGATTTTTTTTTTCTTTTTTATTCTACATATGCGTTGAACTTGGAGGAAAGCTGCTTCATCGTGAATATTGATAGGATCTTTATAAATCGTTGATGTAACAGCAAGAGGAAAAAAATAAAAAGAACTACTAATGAACACTGACTTTGAAGAATGAAATAAACTGTATCTGAGAAAGAGGAAAACTTTAAAGGTGCAATAAAAATTCGGAAAAATAATTAATTTGTAATTAAAAATAATTAATAATTTATAAATAAAGGTACTGAGATTTTTATAATATTCAAATTTACGCAGTATGTATGTGATATGAAAATATGATATAAAATATTCAAAGTATAGTGACATTTTACATGTAATATTTGGCATGTGCAATAATTTTCTATCGAGACACTACTTTTTTAGATGTAACCTCAGAAAGCTCTATCTATAAAAGTTTCGTTCTAAATTACACAAAATGCTTTATCTATAAAAGTTTCGTTCTAAATTACACAAAATGCTTTATCACATTGACTATCAAAAATGAAACGAAGATAAATAACAATATTTTATATCTTCAAACGAAATTGTATCCTTAACGATGAGGAAGTTTTCCGACAAATCGGAGAAACATGTTTAATTTAGAAATACCGAATGATCATTGTTGATTATCAGGTGAGCAGAATCGTGCGTGAATGTTGCCAGCGTTCGACTCGTGAAGCATCGTCGAAAGAAGAGGAAGACATCAGTATCCAGAACATACTGCAAGTTCAACGTACGGTAAGCGATCTTTGGAAATAAATTCAGAGATAAAGCTTGATGACTTTCATTTTCATAAATATCATCAAACAATCTATGTCTATATTATTAAGGAAAATAACTAGATTGATTTAATAATAATTACACTACGGATTTTGTACATTTGCGAAAGATTTAGAAATAAATCTTTAGAGTACACATAGAATGAAAAAATACATAAAATATTTTACATAGAGTAATAGTAATTTTAATAATAGTAATTTTAATAACATTTTAATAATAGGAAAGAAACGATAAACGTTGGGCTATAAAATAAAGGTTTTAAGATTTAAAATGAGATCAACTGGATTGTTAACTGATTTCTTTTTATAACAGTTTAATTATATATATTTAATTATATAATTATATATTTATATATATTAATTATTTATTTATATATATATATTTAATTATATAATTATATATTTATATATATTAATTATTTATTTATATATATTTAATTATATAATTATATATTTATATATATTAATTATTTATTTATATATATTTAATTATATAATTATATATTTATATATATTTTTTAATTATTTACTTATTTATATATTTAATTATACAATTAATTATATATTTATAAATAAACATTTAAATTATCAACAATTTTCCATCGTCGTTAGTTATGTTCTTCACCGTATACAATTATGAAATTTAATAGTACTAAAATAACTTTAAAATAACTCAGTAGAAAACAGTAGTCAAATGATGTTACTCCTGAAGGATTGAAATACACGAAAACAAGGGAAAAAAGAAATCGAAGCATGACATTTTGTGTTTCAGTGGTGTCTCGACGTTATGAAACGAAAGAGGAGCGATTTGAAACGGATCGAGAAAGAAATTCGAACCTGGCGACGAAGAAACGTCGAGTCGACAGACAGGACCGATCGATCGTTAATCGAGAGGGAGAATTTAATTATCGCGTCGCGAGATCCCTTACGTTTGCGAGTCGCAGCTTTTCGAAGGTGCAGACTGCGAGCGATAAGGCGAAAGGCGCGTTTGGCGCGAGAGATTCGAGACAATTCCGAACAATTGTCTATTCTCGAGACTCGTTTGGAGATTTCCAAGTTGCGAACTTATCCGACATTGAAATTCAAATTTTAATTACACTGTCGCCTTCCGTCATGACGTTCTATTTAACATTTTGAAATCGAAGAATGCTGAAGTTCCATTATTTCTATCATCTTTGTTTCTCTTCGTTCAACTGAAAACATTCAGTTGTTATTTTATAACAATCTGTATAATTATTGTGTACGTGTAATATGTGATTGCGACACTACGAACATTTTTCTCGTAACTTTTTGAAGAAAGTGACAGAGGAAACAATTTTAATGTCTTTTTTTTTTCTTTAAATCAATACGATGGTCTCGTTACTCTAATTTTTTATATTTGTAACGTCGTGGCCTTCAATTGATATATTTTTTTGATCCGTCGATCATGGACATGACGTGACAATCACTTTCATTTTTTGAACAGCGTAAAAAATTGAAGTACCCCGTCATAAAAGAAAAAATTAAAAGTTTTTCCTCTTCCAATTTTTTCACAATTTACTATTAAAAAAAAAAATTATGATTCGCAATAACCGTGAACACGCTATATATTAATGTACTAATTCAGACAAGACAGTGACAAATTAGCTGTCACGGCAACATACCTAAAAATAAGTAATCTAAACTTAGAGCTGGAATTGTAAACTAGCAGAGTTATCTGAGAAACACTTAGATAAATAAATCAAATTATCATAATTGAATAAATTAGATCAATAAATATATCAAACTGTTTTCAAATTTCTACAAAACACGAAACTTCAACTATTACACTTTTTTCATCAGATAGTAAAGAGTGTTACTAAAAGGAACAGAGTATTATTAAATATATAATGAACACAAAAAATAAACAAAATCATAAACGAGAAAGACATACCATTCTATATAAATTATTTTTATTAAAACGAACACTACAAAATGATTTTAATAATTCCAAAAATTGCCTCTATTTACTGTGTTCGATAAAAATAAAAAAAGAAACAGATAAGTTGGATCGATTCGATTAATTTTTGAAGTCACTGTAGACTGTAGATTTATACGAATTTAATTTTAAAGTAAAATTCCACTGAATACATACAGCAATGACATTAAAAAAAAAAATATATATATATATATATATATTTATAATATCCAATATAATATATATATTTATTTATATTATAAATTTATATTATTCATATTATAATATCCAAAATATAATGTTTCTGGTTTTGAAGTTATATTTTCAAAAATATAAATTTTACGCTTCGAACAATAATTTTGCATGTCGCATATATTTTTTCAGCTCCTCTGCGAGCGTATGATCAATCAGTCTATTTATCTTTATTTAAAAATCCTCGTAGATCTCCCTGTATCTTGTCACGGCGATCCAGTAAAATCGCATCACGTCGTGCGACAGGGTCCCTTCTTGGAAATTCCCCGTCCAAACGATAGCAAATCGAGTCTCGGATTTCCCCGGCCAAGTTTTCCTCCTCCTGCTCGCGAGAAGAAAACACAAGCTGCTTGGTGAGCCAGCGATAACGTAACGAGGTGATACGATTCGAGAAAGAACAGAGGTCGGGTCGAGGTCGCGCGACCATTATCGAAGCAGACATTTTCGCTTATTTCGCTGGATCGGGCAGACGGTGTGTTTCTCAGCGAGAAGAGAGATCAGGAGAAGAAGTCGCGAAACGTTCGCTCGGTCGCTGGGTCGCTGTAACCTTGACAAAATCACGCGTCATTCGCACGCACACCACGTCCGCGATCCACCAATCGTCGTGACCGCAATTGCTAGCGATCCTCGGCCGTCGTCGATTAGCTTGTCGACCGTGTCGTCAACGTAGAACGTAGAACGATTCACGAAAACAAGAAAATGAATCCGACAGGGGACCAGAGCGAATGCTACGGGAGAGCAACGAGGCGATTCGAATTCCTTTAATATAAATATGAAATAAATAATAGTTGAAATAAGTAGGTTCTTAAATATTGCTGTAAAAAATATTTGTAGTAATATAAGTAATATATATAGTAATATAAAAAATATCTATAGTAATATGTTATAGTAATATAATATATTATAAAATAAATAATAGTTGAAATCTAAAATACATAATAAATAGGTTCTTAAATATTACTGTAAAAAATATTTATAATAATATAAGTAATATATATAATAATATAAAAAATATTTATAGTAATATATTATAGTAATATAATATATTATAAAATAAATAATAGTTGAAATCTAAAATACATAATAAATAAATTCTTAAATATTACCATAAGAAATATTTATAGTAATATAAGTAATATATATAGTAATATAAAAAATATTTATAGTAATATATTATAGTAATATAATATATTATAAAATAAATAATAGTTGAAATCTAAAATAAATAACAAATATATTCTTAAATATTACCATAAAAAATATTTATATTAATATAAGTAATATATAAATATAAGTAATATAAAAAATATTTATAATAATATATTATGGTAAAATAAATAGTAGTTGAAATCTAAAATACATAATAAATAGATTCTTAAATATTATCATAAAAAAAAATTTATAGTAATATAAGTAATATATATAGTTATATATTGTAATATATATAATAATATAAAAAATATTTGTAATAATATATTATAGTAATATAATATATTATAAAATAAGTAATAGTTAATAATAGTAATAGTTAATTAAATATTACTATAAAAAATATTTATAGTTATATATTGTAATATATATATTTATAGTAATATAAATAATAGTAATATGTATAGTAATATAAATAATATATATATAGTAATATAAAAAATATTTATAATAATATTTAAGAATATATTATCAACGTGAATTAAAGAAGTGCAAATATGCATTATACAAAGTTTCCTCGTTGCTCCAAAAATGTGCGGGCACCGGAAGCAGGTTAGGCGCGCGTCGTTTTCTTAAGAGAGAACCACGAAATCTTCGTAGTAGGCTTGGAATATCTTCCCTCTCGATATGCCAATCCTCGAGGTTTCGACACGTTTTAAAAGTTTAAAAGTGTGAGCTTGAAAGTAAATACTTGAGGGTACATAACTGTGTGTTTATCGAACGAGTAATGAAAATTAAGTAGTAATAGGCATTCGGTTATCAGCTCCCCCTCCCGTTAATCATGTTTTTGTTCAAATGAAAACAATTGACAGGCAATAATATGTAAATATTATTATTACTGTATCTATGTGCATTTTTATTAAGATGCATCTTTTTATCAAGAGCCGATAAGTGATAATTGATATACGGAAGTTTACCGCTACTGTACTATCACTGAAATATTTTGTATAATGTTAGATTAATTTCGAAAGCTGTATTCAAACGTATTTTTTTTCCACGCGTTTCATCCTAATCATCAAAAAGCAAAACAAATCGACGAACGCTTCTGGTCACTGGCAAATCAACAAATTTTTATTTCTGGGATATGAGTTTTTAGGAAATTTTAAAGATTAACTAGAATCGTGTTTCAGATGTTGAAATTAATTCGGTGCAATTTTTATATTTGCTCTTGAATCATTCCGACAGATAATCGTTTTATGAGTCACCCCCACTGTTGTGGGGGAACAAGTTCTCTTTTTTTTTTCTTTTGCATTTAATAGTTGTTCAAGTTCTTTCAATTTTCAAATCAGGCACATCTATATAAATTATTATCAAAATCTTTAGTTGAAAATCAGAAGGAATCTATTGCTTCTTTTAATAATGAAAACACCAAACTAATGTCAATATTTCAATATTTATTATATTTATTCTTCGTGCATGTTAATGTTGATCAAAACTGATTCACGTAAAATCTAAATTACGATCTATGCAAATTAATCGAGTTAATGTTTCAGATCTCGTTACGATCTGTTCGACACGAAGGAGAAGACAGAGAGAGAAGAAGGGAGCAAAAAGGAAAAAAAGGAAAAGTGTTAGAGCAACGACGAGATCGTCTATCTCCGTCTCGGATCACTCCCTCCAGGTACTACGCGCGAACACGAGACGAGGAAAAGGCGTTCCTGTATATAAAGAGGTTCTGAAAGCCATTCGTGGGAATCTCGGCGACAGTATATCACGAGCCGAGTTTTTCAACTGTCCAGCATCTACGAGATCGCGATTTTTTTCTTCGAACGACGTTTAGTTTCGCGACAATTCGGGCATAATGTACCGATCTCGAGCCTCGGTCCTCGCGGTTCTCGCGTTCGTCGCGAACGCGGTGCTTCTTGCCTCCGCTGACAGTTCTGGACGAATCTGTAAGTATGCCATACGAACGAAAGTGTGAAACTACGATGGATGTGTCAGAAGGCTGAATACAGTATAATCATATTATAGATAGTGGTACATGCTTGTACAACACGATCGAAAAATTATTGTGATCCTAGTGTAACAAAATTTGGAAAGTAACAACGCTTAAAGGAATAACACTTAGAAGAACATTTGCAAATAAAGAGAATAAATTTATCAATTAAACACGTAAATTTTTGGAGCTGAGGGAAGTTTACTAATTGAACATGTAAATTCTACAGTCGAGGAAAATTTATTTATTCAATTAAAATTAAAATTTCCAAGGAAGCTACTACTTAAGAATATTGGTGAAACTTTTAAATTGATTTTAAATGTAGTTAACATAACTGGTCTTTAATACGACCATAAAAATATCCTACAAATAAAAGTAAATCTATTGCGACTGAAACATGATAATAATTTAGATAAATTTAGATTTATACAATTATGTTTTTCTTTTTTTGACAAAAATACCCGTTGCTTTTAAACAATTGTGAAAGAAGAAAATCTGAAATCAGCCATATTGATGAATTCATTTGGTTGTTCTAATGTTAAACAAAAAATAGGAAATAGATGAATGAAACTCGAAAGTTATCTCAGAGACAAGATTGCATTGTCGCTGTTTCTATTATAAATAACGCAACACTTGCTCTGACCTGTTACAGTTACAATGTGCGTTCCGGAGGTGTATTGGAAAGATTGCGTGGACATGATCAAAGACTCAGCGCTGAAAGGGATTCCAATCTCGTGCATCTCGGGTCGTGACCGATACGAGTGCATCGAGAAAGTTGGTAATAAGGAGGCCGACGTGGTAGCTGTCGATCCAGAAGATATGTATCTAACGGCGAAAAAGAACCAAATGGCAACGAAAGCTGGTTACAATCTTGTCGAGCAGGTGAGACGATTTGAATTATTTCTTTTCTTAAATTTAACGTTATTATAATAGTATGGATACACTGTCATTCGTTAAAATCTAAATAAATAAATCGGATATTATATCGGTTCTCATATTATTAAAAAAATACATTTAATTTAACGCTTTTATAATAGTATGGATACACTGTCATTCGTTAAAACCTGAATAAATAAATCGGATATTA